AAGGTAGAATGTAGAGCATTATCTTTATAAGTAGTGTCATGCCAATTGAGCTAGATGTTCCCCGAGACCATGGTCCCCAGAGCCCTCCGTCCAGCAACTTAGTCCCTCGGGGAGTTTGGCTCTGTCCATGGGGCCTCCATGACCTTTCCTTGTTAAGTACAGATTTTTGTTTTTCATCCAGAAACTTCTTGTATTAGCAGGGCAAGGCTAACTCCAGTGCACATGACACAAAAACTATTAATAGATTATGTCTATGACAAAGCTGAAGTTGAAAGCAGAAGTGTTCCAAAAAGAGAAGTATAAAATGAAACGAAAAAAAAAAGCAAAATATCCTGTCTTCCAATTTAAATGAGTATCTTTGTGAAAGGACGTATTTCAAAAGCATATGAAATCTTTATATGATTTTAACTACCTGTATTTGGATTTTTGGCTTTTTTATCCTACAGTTTAGTAAAAGGAAAAAAAATACATTTAATTACATTTTTATCAAAAAAAAAAAACTTTTTCTTTTCCCAGAACCAGCTCCTCCAAAATCACTTTTTGCAGTGAATAAAACCCAGACTTCAGTGACTTTGCTGTGGGTGGAAGAGGGCATAGCTGATTTCTTCCAAGTCTTCTGTCAGCAAGTGGGCTCCAATCAGGAAACCAAGCTCCAGGTACTGATATATTTTTATTTTCCTTTTCTGAGTTAATTTGGATTAAGGCTAATTATCTGAGCTCAGTGAAAATCTTCTGTTTTTTGGACTATAGAAAATAAAAACTGTCCATTTGCTCTTTCGTGTTTCCATGTTAGAAATTAACAGTACGCTTAGAACAAACCCAAAGATGTTTGTTATGAAAACCAACTTGACAAAGCCCAAGGCTTACTTTTATCTTTGTGTTTCTTTACCTTTTGTTTGTCACCCTTACCCACTTCAGATTATACTAAGGAATGAAAGGAAATGGTTCATTTCTTTCCTATTGGCCATTGAATTGACTAAGGAAATGAAAACACTGCCATATGAAACATAATTTAACAAATATGATCGCCAGTTTTGGGAAAGGCGCTATATAGAATCCAAATGATAGACTCAATCAATACTTGACTACACATATTTTTATATCACTGTGGGTGTTATGTTATTATAGAAATAACTAGAGTAAAATATAAGTGCCACAAAAGAGACCTACACTAATAAAAGAATTCAAAAGAAGAGTCTCATCTAGTTAGTAAGGAAAAAGTTTTATTTGGCAAATGAAGGCTGAGAGAGGTGATTATTAAAGCTTTAGAATTACCAAACGGCAGATATGATGAAGACTGGGTTGTTCCCCAGGTCAAAATGAATGGGAGGAGAGAGATGAACCAGTAGTTCTAGGGTTGGCAAAGACACAGAAAAAAGATATTTTACAGCCAGAGGTAGAAGGAAAAGGGCGGGTGTGTGAGGGACTTGACATAATACAGTGTATAGGCTAATACGATGAATAATTTATACTTTTAAATAATGAAGTCCATGAGATTCAGAAGAAAAAGGATTGCTGGCAGTACAAATCTTTTCATATCAAGTCTTAAGATAATTTGCTTTTATTCTTTTCCCCTTTTGACATTCCTTTCTACAAACTTATCTCTTTTTGATTGGTACTGAACGGCTGAACCTTTTTTCTATTCTAAGAATCCTTTTTGAAAATAACTGCTTTCCTAGGTAATGGATTTTCTTCCCTACAACTACAGTGATGTCTTACTTTAAGAAAACAATGGTTATGTATCGACTTACTACAACAGAATCTTGTTAGCAAACGTATTTCTGTCCTTAGAATCATTCTTTTATAGCAGGGTGAAAGAAAGAGAGATGGGTGTGGAAAATAAGTGCAGATGGCTTTCATCTCTTTAAGCAGAGGTGTTTCAGATTTTTGTTTTGAAAAAGAGTGTTATGCTGGCCATCCTTTGATGTTGTACAGTAGTATTTATCACTAGCCTGACCATTGACCCACCAAATTAGCAACTTGTTCCAATCAAGAATAGTTCAATATTAATTGTTTCTGAAAACACGAAGTCACCATACCTTTGGTGAATGCTATTTAAAGGCTGAGAATGCACATTAAGGGGTAGGATCCTTCATATGTAAAGGACTGCTACAAATAAAAAAGATAAAGACCAATGACCCAAAACAAGCATTTCATAGAAAAATAAATGTAAAAGGATCTTAAATGTATGAAAGATGATCAGCCTCACTCATGATGAAAGAAATGCAAAGCAAAACTACGATGAGATGCAGTTTCCACTACTAAGATTGGCTCAAAGAATTTGAAAGTGTTGGAAATAGTGTAGGGAAACAGGCACTGTCACGTGTTGATGATAGACGGGCAAATTGGAAATTTCTATAGAGGCAATTTGTCAATAACTTCCAAAATTAAAAACGTGCACCTTTTTGACCCAGCAATTCAGAAGCGACCCTGTTAGAAATATGTGTGTATACGCATGTACACATACAAACACACATATATTAAATGAGTGTGTATATATAAAATATATCGATGTATGTTTAACAATGCTCCAATATTTTTGAAACAATGTATGTAAAATGATATTCACTGTACCATTATTTGTAATAGCAAAAAAATCAGAGACCACTTAAAGGTTCATCAGTAGGGGACTGGTTAGATAAAGTATGTCTTTACATCAGATTTCTATGCAGCCCTTAAAAAGGATAAAACAGCTTTATCTGTATTGATATGGAAAGAGTGTCTATATATACTGGTAACTAAGGGGAAGCAATGAGCAGAACAATGTGTAAAGTATGCTATCATTTATCTTTTTAAGTAAATCTTATATGTTTATACATCTTGAAAATATATCGGGGAAGAAAAAGAAATCCTGACGATAATGATTTCTTCCCTAGAAAAGAATTGGGTAGACAGGGAATAGGAAAAGAAGGAAACTTATTCTTTTGCATTTTTTAAAATCTTTTACTCGATCCATGTATTACCTACTCAGCATTGAAAAATAATTTAAAAAGCAAAACATGAGGACAACCTCAAATTTCTCCCATTCTCTGCCTCTCCAGGAACCAATTTCTGTTTCTTCCCACGTCGTGACCATCTCCAGCCTCCTTCCTGCCACTGCCTACAACTGTAGTGTGACCAGTTTTAGCCACGACAGCCCCAGCATTCCTACATTCATAGCGGTCTCAACAATGGGTAATTACATACGTCAGTGAAATCTGTCGTCTTTGCAAGTGCTTTCTTTCAGATTTTCCTTACCTTTTCTTTTTAAATATATGTATGCCCTGGTGGCACACTGGTTAACAGTTTGGCTGCTAACCAAAATGTTGGCAGTTCAAATCCACCAGCTGGCCCTTGGAAACCCTATGGGACAGTTCTACTTTGTCCTGTAGGGTTGTTATGAGTCGGAATCAACTTGATGGCAAAGGGTTGTTTATTATGGTTAGACATACATACATGTCGTCGTTGTGAGGTGCCGTCAGGTCGATTTCAACTTGTAGCGACCCTATGCACAACAGAACGAAAACACTGTCTGCTCCTGCTCCATTCTCATGATCGTTGTTATGCTTGAGCCCATTGTTGTAGCCAGTTTCAATCCATCTCATTGAGGGTCTTCCTCTTTTTCACTGACCCTTCACTTTATCAAGTACGATGTCCTTCTCCAGGGACTGATCGCTCCCGATAACATGCGCACAGTATGTGACACGAAGCCTCACCATCCTTGTTTCTAAGGAGCATTCTGACTGTACTTCTTCCGAGACAGACTTGTTCATTCTTTTGGCAGTCCATGGTATATTTAATATTCTTCACCAACACAATGATTCAAAGGCATCAATTCTTCTGTCTTCCTTATTCATTGTCCAGCTTTCCATTCATATGAAGCAATTGAAAAAACCATGGCTTGGGTCAGGCACATCTTAATCCTTAAACTGAGATCTTTGCTTTTGAACACCTTAATGAGTTCTTTTGTAGCAGATTTTTCCATGCCATGCGACGCTTGATTTCTTGACTGCCACTTCCATGGACATTGATTGTGGGTCCAAGTAAAATGAAATCCTTGACGACTTCAATCTTTTCTCCATTTATCATGATGTTGTTTATTGGTCCAGTTGTGAGAATTTTTGTTTTTGTTATGTTCAGGCGTAATCCATACTGAAGGCTGTAGTCTTTGATCTTCATCAGTAGGTGCTTCCAGTCCTCTTCACTTTCAGCAAACAAGGTTGTGTCATCAGCATAACACAGGTTGTTAACGAGTCTTCCTCCAATCCTGATAGCCCAGCTTCTTGGATTATTTGCTCAGCATACAGATTGAATAAGTATGGTGAAAGGATACAACCCTGATGCACACCTTTCCTGACTTTAAACCACGCAGT